GAAGTCGCAGAAGCGTGAGATAATGTACCATAAAACAACAGCTTGATTTTACAACGGAGAGGCCGGCTGGAAGTTAGCAAGGTACAGTGTGGTCGGCAAAGAGGCAACAAAAAGAGAGGTTCAAGGGTTTTTGTTTTGTTTTGGATTTGGGGGGAGGCGGCAGGTGGACGACACCCAGACTTTTCCTTAAAAGAAACTAGAAACTGTGGGGTGGGGGTGGGGGGGCGTGTGTGAAATGAAAGATATGTAGACAGGAGGGGCCCACAGAGACCAGCCCAATTTGCGAAGTTATCCCTACTGCTTCTTGATTGGCACCCACCAATATTCTTGACTTTAGCTGAGCATCTTCAGCTATGTGATTTCTCCTGAACCATCGTTTCACTGTAGAAGTAGGATCCCATTCCTTTTAGGATAGACCAATTAAATAATATTTGTGTTTGATATTATGTGACTTCTCTTCTCTGAACATAATTATGTTCCTCTTTGAAAACCCCATTTCTGCTTCTGCTGAATTTAAGAAATTGTTCTGACAATATTTTTAGTTCTTTGAGCACTTTCAGAAATTTCATAATTCACGCATAATATCTTGTGGGAACTTGGGGCATAACACAAAGCTGAAATGAATGATAGCATCTAATCCTCTGGTTGTTTGGCACTTTTTCTCTTTACGTTATATGTTTGTTCACTGAAGTAACAAATGCAAGGGACTAAAAATGTAGCATTTCACCAAAGTAGAACGAGTTTTACGTAAGGAGTAGATAAATATTACAAACATAGTTCCATCTAATTTGTATACCTGTGGACAGAATAAACATTGCTATGGGCTCTTAGACTATGCCGTTGCACAGATGAGCGTTAAAAGAAGAGTGGGCGTGCAAATTTAAGGTTTTCACACTGGGCAGCTGTCCACCTTAGAGAGAATCCTGATAATAAGTGCCATTTTACCAACCAGTTCGCCAAACTCAACAAAAGCTTAGGTAGCCATTTGGCCTCACCAGCGTGAACCAGCTGAATCGCACTCTGGTTTGAGCGCATCGTAGCAGCTGTTGTGCGATTTCTTCTCCTCGAGGCTCTGCCTCCTTACCAACCACGATAGACTGGTCTCTCCTGCTAGCATGCCCCAGGTATTTGAACCAAGCCTTGCCATCCTTGCCTCTAAAAAGCATTCTGGCAGTACTTCTTCCAAGACAGATTTGTTTGTTCTCTTGGCAGTCCGTGGTCCTGTCAATATTCTTCTCCAGCATCATTGGTCAGATGCATCGATGTTTCTTCAGTCTTCCTTATTCAGTGTCCAATGTTCACCGGTATATGAAGCAATTGAGATACCAGGGCTTGGGTAAGGCACACACCTTAGTCCGCAAAATAACATCTTGCTTTTCAAAACTCAAAAGAGGTCTTGTGCTGCAGATGACCCTAATGTGTTCTTTGATCTCTTGACTGCTGCTTCCATGAGCACTGGTTGTTGGGCCATGTAAGATTAAATCCTTGACCACTTCAATCCTTTTCTCCATTTATCAGATGGTACCTATGGGTCCACTTGTGAAGGTTTGGGTTTTCTTCATGTTGAGTTGTCATCCACGCTGAAGGCTGCAACCCAGGGTCTTCATCAGTGAGTGCTTCAGGTCCTCCTCACTTCCTTCCAGCAAGGTGTGTAGATTGCATATCTCAGGTTGTTAATAAGCCTTCGTTCAATTCTGATGTCACATGCTTTTCCATATAATCTACCTTCTCTAATTATTTGCTCAGCATATA